ATATATATATATATATATATATATATATATATATATATATATATATATATATATATATATATATATATATATATATATATATATATATATATATATATATATATATATATATATATATATATATATATATATATATATATATATATATATATATATATATATATATATATATATATATATATATATATATATATATATATATATATATATATATATATATATATATATATATATATATATATATATATATATATATATATATATATATATATATATATATATATATATATTGTAAAAATTTAAATATAAGAGAAAAACTAAATACAGTATTATACCGCTTTACGCGGTTTCACTTAACGCGATTTCTCATATACGCGGTGCCTTGCCAGAACCGAACTTTCACTTAACGCGGTTCATCTACTCATATACGCGGTGAAGTATAATATTTTTATTTTTTTATTTAGCTCATAAAATTCATACAAATTACCCGGCCAGAATATAATTTACATTGCTGGAATTCTTACAATATGATGATCATTTTGAATATAAACATCATAGATTTTGCATTAGACATACAAATTTTAGATATAATGTTTACTCTGAGTAAATATGTTATCTTTTGTGCAAAATATATGACATTTATATTCAAAATAATCCTGGTCTTACAAGGAATCCAGCAATGTCGATTATATTATCCTAACTTTAGTTTGAGGTATTATTTATTGCTAAAAAGGCAAATATTCTGGTTTTCCCACACATCTGGTAGGGAAGGTTGGTGGGGGTGGGGGGGAGGAGGGAGGGAGGGACCGACTGACCATTTGGCACGGTGTGAAGAATATTTTTTTTTTTTATTAACTGAAGATATTTGATTTAGCTCATAAAATTCATACAAATTACCTGGCCAGAATATAATTTACATTGCTGGAATTCTTACAATTAGATGATCATTTTGAATACAAACATCATAGATTTTGCATTAGACATACAAATTTTAGATATAATGTTTACTCTGAGTAAACATGTTATCTTTTGTGCAAAATATATGACATTTATATTCAAAATATTCCTGGTCTTACAAGGAATCCAGCAATGTCAATTATATTATCCTAACTTTAGTTTGAGGTATTATTTATTACTAAAAAGGTAAATATTCTGGTTTTCCCACACATCTGGTAGGGAAGGTTGGTGGGGGGGAGGGATGGGATGGACCAACCATCTGGCGCGGTTGGAAAAGGGGGGGAGGCAAGGTGGGGTACTTTGATTGACAGATAGTGTCGTGAAGAATATTTTTTTTTTTATTAACTGAAGACATTTGTTTTAGCTCATAAAATTCATACAAATTACCTGGCCAGAATATAATTTACATTGCTGGAATTCTTACAATTAGATGATCATTTTGAATATAAACATCATAGATTTTGCATTAGACATACAAATTTTAGATATAATGTTTACTCTGAGTAAATATGTTATCTTTTGTGCAAAATATATGACATTTATACTGTATTCAAAATATTCCTAGTCTTACAAGGAATCCAGCAATGTCAATTATATTATCCTAACTTTAGTTTGAGGTATTATTTATTAAAATCTAGTGGTTTTCCCCCAAAAATTTCTCAGAGGGAAGAGCCAGCAGTGTAGTGTGAGAAGAGGGGGAGGGAGTTGAGTCCATTTTTTGAATGGACATTAACTTGGCGACTGTATTTCTCTATTTCTCTTAAGTATTAATTGTGTGCATGTACCATCATAAAATTAAGATGTTATTTTTACTAGAACATAGGTATTGTGTCAGAAAAAGTAGAGTTTGGGGGTCGGGCCAGTCTCTATTGGAATTAATCCCATATGTTCTGTTGTTCCATTTACGCGGATTTCACTTAACGCGGTACCCTGTGGGTACAATTGACCACGTAAATCGGGGTACTACTGTACATAGCATTTAAAGTGTACTGCACAGTGTTGTGGCTTGGCGCGGGGTTATGCAATGTTTACAGTTCACGTTCGACATCACATGTTCAATTGATTTATGTGTTTTGTTTGTGAACAATTGCAGAAATAATTTATGTAATATTTATGTATACAGTATACCTGTACAGTATATGTAAACTGTAAAATTTTAAATAAGAGAGAAAAACAAAATACGTAGCGTTTTAAACCCACACGCTCTGTTTACACCACACGATTAATTTGAAACAAGTGTGAACTTTTTAAGTGTCCTCAGTGATCTCTGATTACTGTTTCTCCAATTTTGTGACTATGGAAAAGAAGAATATCTCCGGGAAGCGTTCTGGTGATCGCATTTCCGGTGGTGATCGTAAAAGAAAGGCTATAACACTTGAAGAAAAGCTTGATGTTGTCAATCGTTTTGAAAATAAGGAAAGAACATGTGATATTGTGCGTGCAACGGGAATAAAGGAATCTACTTTATGCACCCTTAGAGACAATGCAGCAAAGATTAAAGCAAGCTGTATTGCTGGAAAAACCTTGAGTGCTAGCAAAAGTGTGAGATCACGGCCAAAGGAACTTGAGGAGATGGAATGGCTTCTAAGTGTTTGGATAGAAGATCAAATGAAAAAGCGACCTGGGACCAGCTTCCTCACCATTAAAGAGAAAGCCTTACCAATATATGAGGACCTAAAGAAAAACTGCACCTGATGATGATGATGATGATGATGATGACGATGACAACTGTCAAATCCTGTCTGCATGACACCTCAACATCAACCTTCTCCCCATCAAGTTATATTCATATTTTTTCAAGGTAAAGTGTAACATTTACTGTATGATTTCATTATTAGATATGAATGTAACATTTATTTAGACTGTGCTATCCTTTGTGTTAGGCTAACTACACAATTTTTTTCGATTTCGAGTAATCTGCACCTAACCCTATTTTCTCCATAAGCCCTGTTATTTCTATTACGCGAATTTCTATAACACGATGTTTTGCACGAACACAGCTATCGCATTATAGCAGAACTGACTGTATCAATAATATTAGGTTTTTTAACACTTACATTAGTAGAAAAGATGGCTGGGCACACGGGGAAGGGGGGTTGATTCCGAGGCAGAGGGCAGATTATTGGCCCTCACCTGTACCACTTGTATCAATTGTATCACTATCCACCACAGAGGCTTGCAGGGCCTCTATGTCAAACCCCTCAAAGTCCATATAAGTCCATATCCTCACTATCACTGACTTGAGCCGGCTGTGGTGGGTGGCGGGTGAAGTACTCGGTAATGTTTTGATGACTGGGCGACCTTGTGCGCACCCTGCCTGCGCCGCTCTCCTCGTAAAAGAGTACATGCACCGCGTAAAGTGAGCATTCCAGGTCTGGCAGGGTACAGCGCAAACGTGGAAAGGCGTAAAAAAAAATGCGTAAAGCAGGGTAATATTGTATACTGTATTGTCTTTAATGGGGATACCGAATAGTGGTCTAATCAGATGTGCTTCTTTAAGATAATTTCCCGGAATTCATCAAAAGGGCAGTTGGACATCTGCAAGACACATCGTGGGAGGATTTATTTTGGCATATATTGTTCAATAATGCATGTCTGAAGAAATTTCAATTTATGGGCCTTGCTCCACTCTCATTAAATATACCGAATCTGTGAACATGAATTTGAGTAATGGAATGTACAAATTGGATAATTTTGTGATTAAGAAGATTAGTAACCAGGTGAAAGGGTTGGGTCACTACTTAATGGCCTGAATATGGTGGACACCTGCTGTCCCAAGGGACTTGTTCTTACTCTCCTTTAATGTATATATTAGCCTTGTCAGTAGCAACTCTTTAGGCTTGGGAACTTAGTGTTTTCTTTTTCCTATGTGGTTATCAATATACACACACAAACTAAACCGGAACTCTCCAATAGCCGGAATTAAAATTTCCTCAGAAAATCAGAAAATCGTTCCCAAAGCCGGAATAACATGTCCCAACAGGATGAAGAAACTGGATTAATAGAGACCGAATGCAATAAGGACCTGGTTGTGTATGTTGACAAGAAGGTGACTCAAGCAACTAAACTAGTAGGTCTTATAAGAAGGTTGTTCTCTTGTAACGATCTTCAAGAGTGAAGTGCTTCCCCGTTTGGAGTACTGTCAACCCGTCTGGTCCCCGAGACTGTCAGTTGAATGAAAATGTCCAAAGGAGGGCCACCAGACTGGTGCCTGCATTATAGCACCTCAGTTATCCATTGAGATTAGAGCACATGCAACTGCCTAGATTATACTACAGATGAGCAAGGGGTGACCTAATTGAAATGCATAAACATCTCAGGGGGCACTAATCAGTCAAGTGTCTATACCTGGAGATGGCAGTTGCCCGCCCCACAAGGAGTCACAGCTCATGGTTGAAGAAGCCACAGGTCCAGAAAACTGTGAGAGCAAACTTTTTCAGAGTGAGAATTGTGAACTCTTGAAACAATCTGCCAGAGAGTATTGTGATGGCACAGAGCATGAGGTTTTTCAAGACCAAACTTGACCAGCACTGGAGCAGGTTCAGATAAATTCAGGATTCAGTGCATGCCCAGTACTTACCAAACAGTGCGTAACAGAGGTGTGACCGGCCACCCAAGTGGCTAATGAGCCGATCAATGGTAAAGAGGATAAAAGTAAAAAGTTGTCTAGGGAATGGGGGCCCCCAACCATTTTCTTGCACAGGGTCCATCAGAATCTAGAGTAGGCCATGGCTATAATAACAGTATTCCTGTATTAAAAATGTATGATAAGGTGGTAATATTACAACTGTCGGGTGCTGCATTAAATACAGACCATCCACTCATCTAATCACAATAGAAGATTTCAAGATAATTTTTTTGTGTGTGTATTCTTAGCAAAAGCCAACTCCTTTTTACAAATTTACAAAATTTTATTTTCTGGTATATAATTCTGATATATATTGGTTATGTTCCAGAAAGGAAACTCAGATGGGTCAAATAAACACATGACTAGAGAAACAAGAGGCATGTGTTGGGTACAATTAACTGCAATGTAACTGTACCTGCATCATTGACATAGACGGTGAAGGTGCAATACCCTTCATTCATGCCAGTTGGCAGAAAGTTGAGAATGAGATTGGCAGCGTTGTTGTCTCCTACAACCCTGAAAAGCAATAATGTGTTAAATACAAGATCAAGAATTCAGTAGTCTAGGCACAACTCATCATATTCATCAACAGTGAACAAACATATGAAAATTACAATCAAAATGTTTGTGATTTGCCACTCAAATTCATGAAACGAAAATATAGTGTCAATAGCATTATCATTTTCCTATTCAATACCCTGTAGTCACTTCACCACAGTTAGAGAATAAGCAATTCATGTATTATGTTGATCATATCAATATTGAAACTGAAATATTTTATAAACAAGTATTACATCAAAAGGACAGGGTAGTGTACTGCTCCCACCCTCACCTATGTCATCCTTTTTGGGCGTTTAAACAAAGTCATAAAGGTCGTAAAATTGATGCAATATTTTGTACAATGCAAGAATTATCTTAACCATTCATTATTTACACTCACAAAATAAAAATATTTATTATTTTGACATAAGTACTACATTAATAGGGCAAAATAATATAATCTCCTGCTCTCACCTTTGTCATTCTTCTATGAGACTTACGCAAAGTTAATGTCAGACCCTCAGTGCAAAATGTTAATATATTGCAATAATTATTTATATTTTTCCATTATTATTTATCCAACAAACTTGTTCCCTTAGAGTGGTGACCTCCCTGTTCCTTTATGGTTGGATTTTGTCAAGTAATGCTGCAGTATATGTGCATCCCTCATATGACAAAGTTGACAAGGCTGACCCACTTATCTACTAGTAATATTTGTATCCCAATCTTAGTCTCATTAAAACAGTATTAACAGATGGTAGGTTGGACTCATAAATTACATTGGTGTTTTATAAAACATACAAATACTGTAGTGCTGGAAACTCTCACTACATATGGCAATCACTTCTCTTCTTGCATTTTCTCATTCCTTGCTTTTTCTTTTCAATTCCTTCTTTATCATTCTTTTACTGCACTAACATTGCTAACAATAACAATATACATATTTTCTGCCGCTTTTTTGGCCAATTTGTCAGCCATTTCGTTTAAATGAATCCCCACATGTGATGGAATCCATGCAAACTGCACAGTGCATTCAATTTCTTGCATTACTATGACAGGTTATTTACAGATATTAACAATACGAAAGTTACAAGGATTTTTACTCTGCAAGGTTTCCAATGCACTTCTACTGTCAACAAACATATATGCATCTTTACATTTCTCTACAGCATCCTGAAGTCCTTCACAAACTGTGTGGAGTTCAGCCAGTGTGGATGAGGTGTTGTTACTAATTCTTGTAAAAGCTGTTTCATCAGCATAACACTCATTGGTATGATACAGAGCATGCCCTTACAATTCGTGGCTGACACTGTGGAAGTACCCAAGAATATCTTTGGGTACATTTTAAAGTTGGTGGCATGTTCATGACAGGGACGGGGAGTGCGCGAGTTTTGTGGTTTCCCGCAAGGTGTTTCTGTTGTCCCAGGTGGCTGGGTCATGCGTGCACTCCGCCTCAGTTGACGATAAACACTTGTCTGTCTTGTGCATGTGCTACTCTGCTCTCTTAACAACTGTATTCATCATGCTTGTGATGGCTCCCAAACAAACTCAACCATCTTCATCCAGCCGTGGGAAGGCGCCCAAACAAGCAAAGAGAGAAGATACAACTACAGGTTGTACCTCTCTAGTCCGGCAACCTCGGGACCTGACTGGTGCCGGACCATGGAAATTGCCGGACCATGGAAATTCACCCTTTTCCTGGATAGATAGTGACTTGTGCTTATGCTTGGAAGCACTAGCACCACTTTCTCTGCATCATGGTCTCTTTAAAGACATATTGAAGGGTTAAATGTCGTATAGTAGCTTCTCAAATTCCGCGAGTTTTTAATTCAACGTATTTTATTGGAACACACACACACAAAAAAATAAAATTTTTGACGGCGGAAACTTGAATTTCGACGGGTTTGAACGGCCCGCCAACGTGCAGACGACGTGCATAATCGTGTAAACAGTGTCATTTCTCTTATGTACAAAAGATTCATTATTGTTTATTACTGAATGTCTTTTTTATTGAATTAATGTTTATGTGTGCAAAATGAGCAATACAATTCATTAATAATACGTAGAATATTAAAACACACGAGGAAATGACACAGCATTGTTTTCGTTGATTACAAAACCAGTGACTGACTGGTTCTACATATAAAACTGAAGAAAATAAGACCTTGGTTGTAGCTGTAGTAAAATTAATATGGTTGTTATAAGTAATTTTATTTAATGTTAAAAAATGGAACAATAGAAGTAGCTAATGATAATGGTAAAGAAAAAAGAGAGATCGCATATGTAAGTGCGCACACGTGAAAACATATCGTCATTACTTTACATAAGAATATGAAAGCAACACTTATTTACTGTTCATATATATTTTAATTAATGTTTCTGAATTTGTTTTTATTGAATTAATGTTTGTGTGTGCAAAATTAACAACACAATTTATTAGTAATACGTGGAATATTAAAACACACGATGAGACAAGACGGCTGCCGGCATTGTTTATGTTAAAGCTTACAAAACCAGTGACTGATTGGTTCTACATATAAAACTGAAGAAAATAAGACCCTGATTGTAGCTGTAGTAAAATTAATGTAAAAAAATTAATATGGTTGTTTGAAGTACCTGTAATGTTATTTAATGTTAATAAATGGAACAATATAAGTAGCTAACCATTAATGGTAAAAAAAAAAAGTGAGACTGCACCCTTGTCAACCCTCAGTGAGATAAGACGTGCCGAAGGCGCTCCTGGTTTTAGCAGCCAGGCCGAATCTGTTTGGCCCTGCCCACTCCCCCTGCTATCACTTATGTTACTTGTATATTATTTGTAATTCGTAACCCATTCCCCAAATATGTAACTGTATATTTTCAGCCTTCTGGCTGCCAAGCTCTTTCAATAAACCGTTAATTATTATTATTATTATTATTATTATTATTACATGTGAAAACATATCGTCATTACTCTACATAAGAATATGAAAGCAACACTTATTTACTGCTCATATATATTGAAGGGTTAAATGTTGTACTCTGTATAGACAAGCAGAGAGAGAGAGAGAGAGAGAGCAGCCGAACTGCCGGATGTAAACAAACCTTAATTTCCCGCGGCTTTGTTGTTGTTGTTATTTTATGGGGATTAGCCCACCCGGGCATAGGTCACTGACCGACATTGGGGCCTGAGGGGCAAAAATTTAATACTCCTGTAATAATAATAATAATTCAGATAAGTAAAAAAAAAGCTGCCTATCTACCTATTGGACAAATTAAAATCGTTCCGGACCACGGGAGTTTCCGGACCACAGAATGCCGGACAAGAGAGGTACAACCTGTACTGGAAAAACTTAGGAGTGGCCAGAGTTTTGTTGCGTGTGGCCACGGGTATGGCATTAATGAGTCAACTGTCCTCTACATCAAGAAAAAAGAGAAGATTGAATTGAATTGAAATAGTTTATTTAGCCAGAAAAACACAGATACAGAGTGGATAATAATAACAATATTAACATGGCTGAGCTCTAAGTGCCCCCTCTTCTGCCAAGGTCGCCGCTAATGTGAAGGATACAGCTATGGTGAAGATGGAGAAAGCCCTTAACATCAGGATTGAGGACCTTAACTGCTGTCACATCCCTCTCAGCCAGAAGTTTATCTGTGGTTGAATCCATGCTGAGGAAGGTGAAGTGAGTGGTGAAGGTGGGGCTAGTGCTGGTGGTTCTGGTGATACCACAAATAAAGGTTTTAATGCCAGTAAGGGGTGGTTTGAAATTTCAAGAAGTGCTACAACCTGCACTACTCGAGGATCACTGGTGAGTCAGCATCAGCAGATGATTTAGCAACAAGGAAGTATCCTGCGATCCTTGCTGAGATTTATCCGGGAGAAGGGTTACAAGCCAGAGCGGGTTTTCAACGTTGACGAGGCAGATGAGGGGCACTTATAACTCCCCTGCCTTCATCTTCACCATCATCAATCATTATATTCATCACAAAATTCATCAGCGGCAGGGGAATTTAGGTTCATTGTTGACATACACACCCAGGTCCTTTTCACATTCGGTCTCAATTAATGCAGTCTTTTTGCCCTGTTGGGACATGTGATACGCCTCCTTAGTATTGGTGAGACCCAGGTGCATCCTTTTGCACTTCGTGACACCGAATTTTAGCAGCCATTTCCTCGACCATTCTTGAAGCTCCTAGGGATCTTTCCGCAGCTCTTCATAGTCAGTTTGGTTCCTAATTTCCCTAAATAACTTGGCATTGTCCACAAACATTTGTATGGAGGAGTGTATAGCTTCTAGTATGTCATTAATGAAACAGATAAACAACAATGGGCCCAATACATTGCCCTGTGGTACCCAGCTAGTTACAGGTACACATGACAATTTCGTACCATTTACCACCACACACTGTTTGCGGTCATGCAGAAAGTACTGTATCTGATACACGCTAGGACTTTTCCCCGAATCCCAATTCTGAGCCTTTCATGAGGTACACTGTCGAAAGCCTTAGCAACATCTAGGTATATATTGTTGATATTTCCACTTACATCTAGAATTTGAGTCCAAACATCTAGTACCTTGAGTAATTGTGTTAAGCAGGATCTTCCCGGCATAAAACCGTGTTGGCATTCCTTTACAAGGTTATTTAGTAGCAGATGCTCGATCATGGCATCTCTTATGATGCTCTCTAGTACTTTGCACACTATGCTGGTCAGGCTCGCTGGTCTATAATTATTCGTGGAGTGATGATCGCCCTTCTTGAATATAGGACTCACAAAAACCATCTTCCAGTTCTCGGGGACCTTTTGATCCTCCAGGCATTTGCAGAACAGGATCTTAAGAGGCTCTACAAGCTCGTTACACAGTTCTCTTAACACTCTGGGGTGTACCATAGCTGGGTCGGGACTCCTGTGAATCTTTAGCTTTGACAGTTTATTTCTTATAACCTCATCCGAGAACGCAATGTGGGTCAGCTCTGTGTCAAACCATCTTTCCTCGAATGCAGGAAGATTGTTCGCATCCTCTCTTGTGAACACCTATGAAAAAAAATTTTCAACCCCTCCGCCTTATCCTAGTCAGAATCTGCATAACTACCATCTTCAAGCCTCAGGTCCAATATGCCTACTCATGTTTTTAATTTTGACTTTGCATAGCGGTAAAAAGCCTTTGGGTTTGACTTGAACTCACTCACAATCTGCCTCTGGAACTCTTTTTCAGCCCTTCTACACTCTGCCTTTGCTTGGTTCCTGGATCTGGCATACATCCTACCGTACTGCTCATCATTTTTCCTTACCTACATATCGAAATCCTGAGTTTTCTTCTTAACTTTGCCGACCGCCGCATGGTTCATGTGTAGCGGTCTCCTTGTATTCCTGGAGGCACTGAGTTTGGTCTTAGGTATATATTTATCGATCGTATGGTTTACTTTACTGGCTATGATATTCAGCGAAGCATCTGCTTTCTCATTCCTTAGTAAGTCAGGCCAGTGTATACTCCTTATCTCCTCCCTCATCCCATTATCATTTCCTTAGTAATATTTGAACCTGGACCTGGTTTGTCATGAACCAAGCAAAGTTAAATCTGAAGAACAACATTACTTGGTAACTAGTGCCAACTGGGGCTAGGTGTTCCAGATTGGCCACCATACGCTTCTCGTTAGTTATGATGAAGTCCAGCGGTTTGGGTGTTTGCTCCCCTCTGTAGTGAGTCAGAACTTTAACAAGTTATAATAGAAATTGTCTCTCAGAGTTTTTACAAAAAAGTGGCTGCATTATTAAGGTCGTTTGGCATTGATTCATTTCTCCAGTCGATATCGCCATAATTAAAGTCCCCCATGACAAGGTGGCTAGGGTTCGGCACAGTTACATTGTCCTCTTGTTTAATACGCTACAATTTGGGGATCTGTAGCTACATCCAACAATGAGTAAGTCTCTCCCCTTCAGTTTAATTTTACACCACTGTGATGGCCGAGATACCACACATTTTTATTTTTCCTTTTAGCCACAATGGCATGCCAGGCAGTTTCTTTTGCACTAGGATTGCATGTTGAAGGGACAGACAAACTACCACTTGCACTAGAAGGGCCAGGGACACTGAGAGAGGCCTCAGAAGGCACCACACAATCACCATGTGGTACAATCTTCTTGTACATTTTTTGTTTTCCCACCCCTCCACCTTCGCCATTGAACCAAAAAGGGCGACTGGTGTGGTCACTCTTGTAACCTTGGAGGCAGTCTACATAGGTGCCAGATCACACCGACATTGCCAAATGTGCGTCTTGCGTATTTAGTGCTCATATGCAAACATAAAATTATTTTATTGCAATTTTTTAGTTCATACACAAATTTGCTTATGAAAACCCTAAAGAGATAATTTAAATCATAAGTAAATCTGCAAATGAAAACCCCAAGAGTGTTAAGTCAATGATAAAAATGATTTCAGTGACCAAATTTGTGTTCTCTAGCTATGCAACCCCAACATAAGCAGAGGACTTACAGTATACTATTTGTATTCTTAATTAAAATCTTAGTCAGGCAGACTTGGGTTCTTTTTTTTTTTTGTGTATATGTGTGTACTGTAATTGCATTTATTAGTTTGTTTGTTAAACTAATTCTCAGACAAGAGAAAGCCTTTTCAGCTACCCTATCTTACCTGAATGGGTTGGTTGGCGTAATATCAGTCTCCATCCACTGAAAATCATTTCCCAGACTGTACGTGAAGTTTTCATTCTCGTCAAGATCCTGAGCCTGTAATTACAGCAAGATATAGTGTAATACCAATAATCATAATACAATTTGTTAATCCTATTTTCAAAGTCAATTTTTTTTTATAGGGAAGAGTCCACCCAGGCACAGGTCATCGACCCACAACGGGGCCTAGGGGATGAAAAAATAAGAGTAAAAATAAAAAAAGAAAATAAAAAAGAAAATGATCATATTAATCTACACCACGAAGATGCTGGAAAACCAGCTTTTTAGAGTGAGACAGATTGTAAGAGTATGGAAACACAGAAGAAGGCAGAGCATTCCACAGTTTGGCTGTGTGAGGAAAGAAGGATGTACAGTCTCACCCAAAAGTTCGTTAACTCTCCCAGCCAGCTTTTGCTGCACTGCCTGCTTCAGATGTATAAACTTAAGTCTGTTACTTTGAACCTTTAGACTCATTCGTATCGGTTTCATGTTCTGGTTGGTACTGAGGCAGATTCAAACATCTGAAGCAGGCAGTGCAGCAATAGTTGGGTGGGAGAGTTTAACGAACTTTTGGGTGAGACTGTACTATAACGGGTTATTCTAGTGTGACTGTGAGCCACAGAGAAATTGTGGGCACCACGGGCAAGACGAGTGTTACGAGCCCACGGCCTTGCCGGCGGTACACAGGATGCCAAACTACATGCAGGTGGAAGGCCTTAAAGTGGATGGAGATGAAGGGACAGTGTGGCTTACTACTGTAAATCATAAACAACAAACCACAGCAACTCTGAGTGATGAAATTAATATAGACATGGGGGTTTAGAGGTATACTTTGGTTGCATTAATGTAATTAGTTTTACAAATACGTACAGTAGTAATATCTCCATTAGCCGGAATCCCTCAAACCTGGAACTCTCCGATAGCCAGAATTGAAATTTTCTTGGAAAATCGTTCCCAAAGCTGGACTTTTTTGGAAAATTCTGGCTTTGGGAACGATTTTCCAAGGGGCACATTTTCTGGAAAATCCTGAAAAAATTTCCCAATACCTGGAAAATTCCAGGGACGAGGGATTTTCATTCCGGGTTTGAGAGATGAAAATCAGGGTCATTTTCCGGAACTTCCAAGAAAAGATTTCTGGTACAGTAAGGTCGGTATATATTGTGAGATGTTTGCTATTTACTAAATTGCAATATATAATTACATGCAATCAATGGGGAAAATAGGGTTAGGTTCTGGAGGCCAATAAAAGTGACTAAACTTGACTTAACGAGTTCATTTTCTTACTAAATAAAGCACCAATGAACACTAGACTCGGGAACAACAGGCTATTTCAACATCAAGGAACACCAGACTCGGCAGCTGACGCCACACTGCCACCCTCACTTGACAATCCCACACCTACATAAACGAACACCAAAAATATTACTTACAGTATTAAATCTTTTCTATTAAGGGGATATTTTTCCGGGTTTGAGAGATAATGCAATGCACAATTTCTGGAACTTCCGGAAAAAAAATTCCGTTACCCGGAAAATTCCAGGGATGAGGGATTATTTTTCTGGTTTTGAGAGAGTCGTCTCGTTACCCAGAAATCTCTCATAGTGCTCTGCACCAATTATTCCGGCTAATGGAGATATCACTAAATAAAAATTTGCTTCAGTCAGTCAGTCAGTCAGTCAGTCAGTCAGGCCAGTGGTCAGATCAAAATGTAAACCCTGAGTAAGATGCAATACAAATAGTAAGCTTTTTATATGCAAAGAGTACAGTAAATTCTCACGAACCACGAGTTTACCAACCGTAGTTTTGAGTATAGTATCTATGTTTTATAATTTGTACACTGTTTTAGCAACAATGGTATTCAGCTTAAAGTATCCACAGGTATACATAGTCACTGCAGGAGATTACTAGCCCAGCCAAGGAAGAGTTAGTTGGATCAGGTCTATTATGTGGTTTGTCTCATTCTGTTCATCTTGTTTTATAACTTATATCTTTTTTCCTAATCGCCATCCAACCTAGAGGAGGCCATTATGAGAGGAGGAGGCCAATGACCTGTGTAGGATCCCTCCATTGTTGCTAATAGTCTTGTCAGGGGCTATTTTGAAGCCCAGTAGAGTACTGTTCTCGCTGGTACAGTAAACTGTTTCAGAGGTCTTCCACCCTATGTATTCCTCAAACAACAACTTGTTATCATCTACCACACCCAGGTCCTATTCCTTCTTTAATCTCTTTTAAATCAATATGATTATTTTCATCTTTATACTCTATGCTCTATGGCTTTCTACTGTCCGGACAATAGTCATTACTTAATACTCTCAGGGCCGGAGCTGAGGAGGCAGCCACACCACACATGGTCCCGGTATAGTCACCTTGCTCACTGAGCCACAATTGCTCAAAACTTTTTATACTTTTATTAATTACGTACATTCTGCGTACTGTAATAGAGAAAAAAAATGGCATTCCTTGCAAGAATTCTTCACCAACTTTCCTTGGGATGAATGTTGCTTCTCCACTCGGGTCGCCTCGGTATGTGCTGACAGCATTGCTGAGGTTATACAGGGCGGTGTGAGTGCATTTATCCCATCTTCTACCAAAATTTTCACTTTACAATCATGGTTTGATCGCTCCTGCTCTCTTGCATGCAGGGAGAGAGATAGGGCATATCAAGCTATGAAACTATCTCCTTCTCCTATTACCCACTCCTCTTTCATTACTTCTAGAAATCATTGTAAGGCTGTTCTTCGTTGGGCCAAGCGGAATTTTATAAAAAAAAACACCGCTGTCCTGACTAATTCTTCCTCTAGTAAATCCTTCAGGTCCCTAACCAAAAACATCAGTAATAACTTCTGCACTCCTTCTTTTCCTCCTCTCTTCTGACCTGATAACTCTATAGCCAACTCTCCCCCTGACAAAGCCAATCTCTTTGGCACCTTATTCTCCTCTAATTCCACCTCAGACGATTCCAACTCTATCCCTCCTACCCCTGCTCCTCTTACTGAATCTATGCACTTTCCTATAATCTCCACTCGGAGGGTTGTGTTATCCAGGTTGGATTAGTAAAGCGCATGGACTGGACAGAATACCCCCTTGTGTTCTGAGGGAGTGTGGTGAAGCTCTGGCCCCTGTGCTTGCTCGCCTCTTTCACCTTTGCCTCAAAACCCAAACTTTTCCTTCTTGGGAGCATGCTTTGGTTCAGCCCATCCCAAAGAATGGAGACCATTCTACTCCCTCTAACTATCGCCCCATTGCCCTAACTTCATTCCTCTCTAAGATTTTCAAAACTACAGTATCTTGAACTTCCATTTTCTCCGTCACCATGAACGCCATTCTCTTTTGTCGGATCACCAGTATGGCTTTCGCCAGGCGAGATCTATTGGCGATCTGCTCTCCTAATACACCCATCTTTGGTCATCCTCTCTTAGGGATTATGAAGAAACTTCCGTCGTAGCCCTCGACATCTCCAAAGCATTTGCCAGGGTATGGCACAAGTCTTTGCTATCAAAACTTCCCTCTTATGGTTTCTCTCCCCAACTTTGTTTTCTAATCTCCAGCTTCCTTGAGAACCGATCCATGGCAGTTGTTGTCGAGGGATCGATCTCTCGCTCTTTTTCTATCAATAATGGTGTCCCAAAGCGTTCTGTTCTTTCACCTACTCTCTTCCTTCTTTTTATCAATGATTTACTTCACACTACAATTAATTCTGTCCATTCTTACACTGATGATTCTACTCTTCACATTTTCCCCTTCCCCCCTTACTCTCACACTAGATCTGTTTCTAGAGCTCTTATCATTACATCTATCAATGCGGATCTGTGCAGCATCTCCGAATGGGGAGGTAGAAACTTGGTTAAATTCAATAGTAATAAAACTCGGTATTTACCAATTACACTTTCCAAATTAGATGATCTTCCACCAATCACATTTCAGGATTCTATCATTCCGCCAAATTCTAAAATAGATATGATAGGCCTCACAATTTCCTCTAATATGTCATGGAAGCCACACATCCACAACATTGCTAAAGCTGCCTCCCAAAAGTTGGGAATGTTGTACAGATGCTGTAGCTACTTCACTCTTGAGCAGTTGCTTCAAGTATATAAGGGATTCATTCGTCCTAACTTGGAGTACTGCTCTCATATCTGGGGTGGCTCTTCTTCTGTCCAACTGTTAGACAGGGTGGAATCAAAGGCATTTTGTCTTATTAACTCTCCTCTTTTAGTTGACAATCTTTCTTCCCTTTCTCTTCGCCGCAATGCTGCTTCACTCTCTCTTTTACAGGTACTTTAATGGGCAATGTTCGGTGGATTTGGCATCCTGTGTACCAGCGGCAAGGCCGTGGGCTCGCAACACACGTCTTGCCCGCGGTGCCCACCATTTCCTCGCACAGCCAAACTGTGGAATGCTCTGCCTGCTTCTGTGTTTCCATACTCATGCAATCTGTCTCACTTTAAAAAGCTGGTTTCCCGGCATCTTCGCTGTGTACATTAATATAACCTTTTCCTTTTCTATTTCTAATTTATCTATTCTTTTTTTTTCGTCCCCCAGGCCCCGTTGTGGGTCATTGGCTTGTGCTCGGGTGGTCCAATCCCCATAAAAAAAAAAAAAATATGGATATAGGTTGTGATAATTTATGCGGATGCAGTTTCAAAACTTTGTGACACCCCTAATGTATAATGAGTCTCCATATGCCCTGGTTTATTCATTGATCAGTTGTCTAAGTGCGAAAGTAGCCCTGTCGAGCTATCATGTATCAATTAATTTTAAAATATAAATTATAATGTAAAATGTTATGAGACAATGGTTTAGTAGTGTTGTTAATGTGTGTGTGGTGTAAGTGTCTTGGCATGTTACCTCACCACCTGATTCCTGAACAAACTCTTCAAATCGTACAATGTGCTTGGCAAGGTAAAAAAAAAACACACACGCATGCACGCATGCACACACACCTGGGTGTAACTATAGACCACAAACTAGACTGGAAGGCCCATGTAAACAACACAATCAAGGCAGCCTTGTACCGACTCTACATGCTACGACGACTCAGGTCAATTGGGGCACCC